GATTGGTTATTCAATAATCACTAAAAATAAATATTTTCAGTTAAAAACAAGTAAAAAATATCTACTTTCTACTTCCGACTTTGAGGATTCTACAGGTCAAAACCGGCAAATAAGTGACAATAAATAAATTAAATTAAAATAAATCATTACCATTGACTTTATTATATAATTGATACATTCCAATCCTCGAAGTCAGAAGTAGACAAAACCAAGTAAGAAATACTCTAACTGAAAATATTTATTTTTAGTGATTATAGATATTTTTCTTAAAACACCATATCTAATAATCATCATCAGAACTTAGATTAATAGAGTATACAAATATTCGTTATAAATAAAATATACAATTATAATTAATAAATAAAATAACAATTATTACAATATACAAAGCTTTTCTTACTTAAGAGTTTATCATACTGAGTGCCCAACATATTTTAAAAATTCTTTAAATTGTGTACAGTAAAGGAATAAAGACAGACGGTTATATAGTCAATCTTACCAGTTTTAACTGAGTGCAAGAATTAAGTCCCCCCTCTTCCAAGCCTAATTAGAGAATTCTTTGCAATTTCCCACAAAAATGCATCTAAAATAGTACAGTAGATACAGAGTTCTTCAGGGTAATCCTTAACCCTCTCCCCCTCAGGAGGAAATTTCCAAAAATCCTTTCTTAGTGTACATTCTCATGACATATCATAACTGTGTACCAAATTTTAACTCCTAACCGTTTGCGCTCTGCACTTATTATCATCAATGATTCTCAATTATAAGATGACAAAAAGCTTAATTTTGAAAGTAGAGATAAATTTTATAAAAAGTTTTAAATACTAGTAAAGAGTAAAATCTTTATTATGTCTAAACCCACTTGGGATAAGATACAGCCCCCATCTATACTACACACCCCTTCACCTTTAATCACCAAAATTTAATAGCATCAATGCCACTTACACACACACACCTCCCTGAAAACAGAAATTTCAACAAAAGGCACAAGTGTTTTATTAAGCTTCAAAGTGAATAGACAAAATCGTGCCTCTCTACACTAACACCCATTCATACAGGAAAAAACTTCCAACTTTTTTTTTTGCATTACTTCATGTTTCAAAGTCCCAAATCCAAAAAATGTAAAATTCTGGGAGAGTTTTTTTTTTTGACAAATTTCCATACTTTCCTTCTATTATATATATTGTAATATTATTTATAGTAATCATTCAATACTCTTAAGATGTGAATTCTTAATAGGGCCATCTAAAAAGAAAAATTCCATGAAAAAATGTTTTGGACAGCAACAAAAAACTCAATAAGATCAAATAATCAAATCAAATATTAAATATAAATATTTATAAAGTCAAGAGATTTAATTTCTAAATAAAGCAAAATCTGATTAAGATTTAAAATATAAATCTTAGAAATTGATAAAAATTGTCATAAATCTATAAATCTAAAATTTATTACTTTTGCAGTAAATCTTTTATCAAGAGGTTTCTCAAACTTTTAAAATATTTATTTGATTAATTATGAACTATCTTCTCTATTCATACATCAAATCATTTATATAGTTTTTTTCTGCCATATTTTATCGAAATAAAAAATTATCAATATAACATTTGATATAATTTTGCCAAATTTAATTATATTTGTATAGCCAAACAATCTGCTGGATTATCCGTTAAACTATTAATTATTTTCTTTCTTCATTTATAAACTAGCTGGGGTACCCGGCTCTGCTCAGGAAGTTGATATGAGATTGTGTGGTAGTTGGAATAAAAGGATAAACTTTAAAATGTAAGAGGTAAAATAATTTTATTGAAAACATATTCTAACTATTTACAATACTTGTTTATAAACAACATTTTTCATTTTGTTATCCGGGGTATATATGTACAAATTTTTCGAATTTCCTACTCGATGCAAAGCTATGTATAGTTGACCGTGAGAAAAGCAGGAGTCTTTGAGGTTGATGCCGCAATGTTTTAAAGTGTGTCTTTACACTTTGTTAATTGTAAAACTATAGGCTAATTTGATTGGAAATTTCAGTCTTTTAAATTGGAATGGCAGTTCAGTAGAGATCAGTGGCATTCTGGGGATAAATACTGTGTCCTTTGTCCTTTCCAGTCATACGTTCGGCTTCGACGATGTTATTCGATAGTTGTTTGACGATCATCCTTGTTCCATTACATAGTTTTGGTGATTTCAGATTTTTGAGTAGTATAATTGGAGATCCAATTTTCAGTCAAAGGCAGTGTAATGGCATTCCTGGTACTTGCAAACAGTTTAGAAATTCTGTAGGTAAGTTGACACTTTCTTCAACTTTTGTGTGTCAATCAATTTGTATAATCTCTCCTCACTGAGAATTTTCTTTTGAATATTAAAGTTGATATTGTCGACAATATTGTGGAATGTTGTTGAATGCTCTCGAATACTTTCAAATGTTCTGGACTGTTCTAGAAATTTCTACAGGGCAAAACTTCCAGTCCTTATATCTTCAACAGCATGCCCTTCAGGTAAAAACGAGAACCTTCTTCATGAATGGNGGGGGGGAGAGAGAGAATGAAAATAAAATTATAAAGTAGGTTAAATATAATTTGATTCTTGTTTAGAGAAGTTATTTTCTCATTATTATGTCTGATGATATTTTCTCAAATCCAATAGAATTAATCAAGCAATTAAATATTTATAAAATTATGAATTCGGTAGTTATCATCCAGTTCTTAATCTTTCTGTTTAATAAGTTAATAAATGTATTATAAAAATACAACTTAATAAGAAAAAAAAAAAGAAAATAATTGGAATATTACATCAAATATTCCAATTATTAGTATAACTTCTTAATTAGAAATTTTGTCTAATAAATTTATTGATTAAAAACACCACTATTCTGAATAGGTAGTTTCCATTTATTTATAATTAACAATTTAATAATATATTTATTAATATCTAAAAATAATCTAGAGTGGGATTCAAACATAAGCAGACAGTTTCTCTATAAATCATGTTTCATCATTAAATAATAAATTATTTAATCACTATCAACAGATTTCAACCCATCTAGCTATAGTAATAAATTATTCTAAATCATTAATAAATTTATTAGCCAAAATATTTAAATCAAAAACTATATCATCACAGCATGATATTTCAACTCGACTTTGGCATTTATATTTGGCAATTGTGCCAGCAAAAAAATGAAAAATATAACTAAAATAACAACTATTTTATTTAAAAAAACATTCATATATCTTGATTTCAAAAGCAGTAAAATAATTTCAAAAATACTACATTAGAAATAATTTTAAAAATATGGCTGTTATAATTCATAGAGTTTCATATAATTATATGAATTTTATTGACCATAAATATTGAGAAAATGTTAATATATTTATATAATTATAATTAATGTTGCATATCTGCTAAAACATGAATAGAAAAAACTAAATCATTTTAAATTTTACACTTTATTCTAAGATATGATCCAAGTTCTGCCAGTTGGAAATTCCTACCTAATATTAACCACTAGTTATATAGTATTTTTATTTGGAGGAAAAAGTAAAATTATCAAAACTTACACATTAATATAGACGTTAATATATCAGATAATTGCAATTAAAATATATTTCTGAGTAAAAAAATTCTAGTATTATTACCACCTCAAAGTTTTAGTTACCACAATTTAGTTGAAATCACTCACATTATGAAAAATTCTTAAGACAGAAATGCTGTCTTAACTATTGCTTTACACTTTTGTTGTTACTAGATACAACAAATATGATTTTTAACATCCACCAGCTAATAATTGATGACTAATCCTCCATCTCTGAGAGCAGCTTACTTGGTGGGGTCAGTTCTAAGCCATTTAATTCTGTAAATATGAATACAAGAGTGTAAACAAAGATGTATTGTAGAAGTTCTGAGCATGTTTTCTAAAAGAACTAGTAGTCCGGACACCCCCTAGTGGGCATTCTAGCAGCATTATAAATTCCTATATTAAAATATTACCTTCTGGGAGTCCACTATATAATTTTCAAAACTATCCATTTTTCCATTATTCACCCCCTAGTGCACGTTACAGGCATTCTGTGACAATAATAAATTCGTATTACAAATATACTGAATTATTTATATTGTTATTGGCCAATTGAATAATAATAATTTATATTGTTAATTTAAATGTTTGAAATATGACACATGATAGGGGCACCTCTAGTGCCCGTTTTTAGCATACTGTTTTCAATGAGTTATATATATAGATAGATATTGTAATATCTGTTGTCTTTAATACATGAATGAAACTGTAATGAATTTAAATGTATAAAGAAAATGTTTTGAGATTAAAATAGTTATATATAAATGGTACTCCACTGTACATTAATTTTAAAATTAAATTTAAAAATCAACAACACTATAGAAGAAAAAATTGACCTGTAATCAGACTAAAATCGGTAAAATCTGCTTATTGTGCAGATTCATTACTAGTCGGACTTCTAACATAATATAACTGGTAACAGCATTTAGATAACTGCTTATTAAATTCAAGCTAATGTCATTAATTATATATATAATTTGAATTACTTGTAATTCAAAAACAATATAAAGAATGAGAAAAATACTGCAGATAGCAGNTTGTTTGATCAATTATGTAATTTGTAAGTACATTTTTTTAAATTGAAAAGACATTTGAGACAATTTTATTGGGGGAAACTCAAAGCATATGAAAAGCATTTTAAAAAATAGACAATTTTCAAACTATCCACATCATCTGTTGTTAGAAATGAAGTGTTTTGTCTAAAGCATTTTCAATTATCTAGTAACATTAAAAGTGAAAAAACAATTATATTTATGATACTTTTGTGATAACTTCATTGCAAAGAAAAAAATTATAATGAATTCCAGCCTTTATATATTAATGAAATATCATAATTAAATTCTTATCTATTTATGATAACTTTTCAATTTTTTTGTGACAAAGGTGTTTTCTTATAGTGCATTATGATGTATCATATTTACTTTCTGATGCCTTTCCAAATAATGTATCTCTCTCCTGAATATTATATGATCAAAATCATGCTTTATTCATTAATAACTGAGAATGTGTCATTAAGTTTTAATAAAAAGAATTAGAAATGCTAATTTCAATGTTAATAGTATTTTAGATATTACTGACATAAAAATATAGTTCCTTGAACACACTACTTAATTTTTAATTGTGTTTTAGTGAAAAATTTAATTCTATGATTTGTTTTTATTTAATTTATGAAGAACATATTAATTTGTTTTAAAAATTAATATGTTCTTCATAAATTAAATAAAAACAAATTATATTATTACACACAATATAAAAGTTTTTTCTATAGATACACTAAAATTAACTAACAATAACTGCAATAATTTTAAAATTAAATTTAAAAATCAACAACACTATAGAAGAAAAAATTGACCTGTAATCAGACTAAAATCGGTAAAATCTGCTTATTGTGCAGATTCATTACTAGTCGGACTTCTAACATAATATAACTGGTAACAGCATTTAGATAACTGCTTATTAAATTCAAGCTAATGTCATTAATTATATATATAATTTGAATTACTTGTAATTCAAAAACAATATAAAGAATGAGAAAAATACTGCAGATAGCAGGAAAGTTAAAATTTTATAAAAATATAGAATTAAATTTTCTGGATTATTTATTACTGTTAGTTGTGTTAAGGATTCAAATGTACCTTACATTCTCACATCAATGGAAATGATAAAAATATTTTTTAAAAAAGCAGTATGCATTTTATTAATCATCATCAATGGAGACAAAGATATTCATAAAACTAAAAAAATACTGAAATTAAAAATCAATTAAATTATCTTGAAAACAATAACTGTTACCAACACAGAAGAAAACTCTGATTTTTTTCTTCTTCTATCATTTCAAATGTCAAAAATATACAATAAAAAATTAAAAATACTATTAATACTAAACTCTTAAAACTAAAGAAAAATTATTAGTAAAAAGAATTACAAATTATTTTGTAATTTTTCCTTACAAAAAAAAAGGGGGGGAGAGAGAGAGAATGAAAATAAAATTATAAAGTAGGTTAAATATAATTTGATTCTTGTTTAGAGAAGTTATTTTCTCATTATTATGTCTGATGATATTTTCTCAAATCCAATAGAATTAATCAAGCAATTAAATATTTATAAAATTATGAATTCGGTAGTTATCATCCAGTTCTTAATCTTTCTGTTTAATAAGTTAATAAATGTATTATAAAAATACAACTTAATAAGAAAAAAAAAAAGAAAATAATTGGAATATTACATCAAATATTCCAATTATTAGTATAACTTCTTAATTAGAAATTTTGTCTAATAAATTTATTGATTAAAAACACCACTATTCTGAATAGGTAGTTTCCATTTATTTATAATTAACAATTTAATAATATATTTATTAATATCTAAAAATAATCTAGAGTGGGATTCAAACATAAGCAGACAGTTTCTCTATAAATCATGTTTCATCATTAAATAATAAATTATTTAATCACTATCAACAGATTTCAACCCATCTAGCTATAGTAATAAATTATTCTAAATCATTAATAAATTTATTAGCCAAAATATTTAAATCAAAAACTATATCATCACAGCATGATATTTCAACTCGACTTTGGCATTTATATTTGGCAATTGTGCCAGCAAAAAAATGAAAAATATAACTAAAATAACAACTATTTTATTTAAAAAAACATTCATATATCTTGATTTCAAAAGCAGTAAAATAATTTCAAAAATACTACATTAGAAATAATTTTAAAAATATGGCTGTTATAATTCATAGAGTTTCATATAATTATATGAATTTTATTGACCATAAATATTGAGAAAATGTTAATATATTTATATAATTATAATTAATGTTGCATATCTGCTAAAACATGAATAGAAAAAACTAAATCATTTTAAATTTTACACTTTATTCTAAGATATGATCCAAGTTCTGCCAGTTGGAAATTCCTACCTAATATTAACCACTAGTTATATAGTATTTTTATTTGGAGGAAAAAGTAAAATTATCAAAACTTACACATTAATATAGACGTTAATATATCAGATAATTGCAATTAAAATATCCCTATTCAATATTGCCCAGAGAGATTGTATTTAGCAGTTCAGGACATACAGGAGACATTTCTATTAAAAAAAATTACTATAGTAACATAACTTACCACTTTTGCACTGAAAGCAACAAATATTTATCTGTACAAGACACTCATGCTATAGAGATATATTAGTGATGCAGGAAATATTGCTCAATTCCTACTCTACAGGTGTAGAACTTGAAGATAAGAGTGTGTTCAATGGCTGCTCATAATTTTCCATAATGCTTTTCACATGCTTTATGACAGTCTTTTGAGGCTACTAAATTTACAACATGTACTGTACTGTACAGTACTAGATATATAATACATTTTAAGTGTCCCCACAGCCAAAAATCATACTGATCCAAAGCACCATAAGTGGTGAGTTTCGGCGCTAATTTTTTACAGTAACATATTTCGCATGTCCTGAAATGTCATCAAATTTGATTCCAATTGAACTGCTAAATATCTCTCTAGACAATGTTGATAGGGGTATTTTGATTATAATCATCTAGTATTTTTCTTGAAACATTTCCTAATTATTTTGTTGCTCTGAAAACCAATAAACAATAAATAACTCTAAAAATTACTGAATCTTAGAAACAAATATCTGGTATTTAATGTATTTGAAAATTTTTTATAGATGCAAGATCACTATATCCATTCATCCTTCCAGTAAAAACATTTTAGTGTTTATACTTAGCATTTTACACAGATTTTAAAGTATACTCTTAAACATCATTAATAAATATAACTATAGCAATTTTCTTTATAAAAATTAAAATTATCATCAAATTACAGAAAATCAAAGGATTTCATATGCAATAATCAAATTCTAGTTATTCTTACTAATGCTTTACAATATCTTTTTTAAAAATAAAAGCATTATGAAGAGTTATATTTCATTTTTTCTTTTAAAGCATAATGCTTTAAAAGAATGCTATCATCTCTATTCACAAAATGATTTCATTAATTCTTTGCCAAAGTGTAATTTTAAAACAAAAAACACAATCTGAAAATTGGCTAAAAAATGTTCAGGCAATACTTTATGGCTTCTAGTAAAAACAGTATATTATTGTGACTGGAAATTTCATATTACCAGTAATCAATAACATGAAAGATATTTAACGTAAACAGATATTCAAATTCAGTATGACAAAAATTTATTTCATAATGCATTTTTAAAAAGAATAATTAAGCCAATTCTTAAAAAAACAAGGAGAAAGGACTTTGTGAAGAAGTCTTACATTTTTAATTAGGGACAAGACCTTTCAACACTAATCCGATTAAATCTGTTTAAATCTCTCGCACACGAATCAGTCATTTCTTAAAGTAAAAACTTGTTCTTCAACTTTATTTAACTTCAAATTAAAAAAAATTCTTTTTTATAAAATTACTTTATTTCTTGCCACTTGTTTTAATAATGAAGTGAACAATTATGATAGTCATTTCTCCTAACTGTAAATTAAAAAGAATTTTAATAAATTAAAGTTGCATAATTGAATAAGTATCAAGAAAAAACATCTTAATATAACAAACATTCTCATTTATAACAAAAGATTTTATTATATAATTTTTATGAATAATTATCTAAACTGAAACTATCATCAGAAGTTTGTATAACACAATATTGTAAAGTATTCTGATAAGGTTACAGTTGAACAAACAGTTTTTAAAGCTCATAAAAGGATAAAGTAACTATTAGATTCCAAAAATAGAATTAGTCAAAAGAAAAACTGTTTATCAATTAACAAGACTGTTAACACACCACTCAAAATCTATTCTTTATAAAGTTCATAAATTAAGTTCCATAGAAAAAATTATAAAATATATAGAATGGCAATAATTTTATATTAATGTTTATAATTGAATATTGTTTCAACTTTTATATTTTGATAATCATAAATTATAGAAAATATAAATAAAAATAATTAGTTTAAAAT